ATTGTGCTAGGGTTGGTCTGTGTGACCAATAGAATATGGCAGAAGTGATGGTATGGCACTTATGAAATTAGATTATAAAAGATGCTGTGGCTTCCCTCTTGGTTGCTCTCTTGTGCTCTCTCTGTCTCTGTCACTGTCTCTCTCTTTCTCTGCACTCACACTGGGGGAGGCTGGCTGCCATGGCATAAAGACATCATGGAGAGGTCCACATGGTGAGGAACTGAGGCCTGCCAACAACCACATGAATGAGTTTGGAAGTGAATTTTCCAGCCCCAGTTGAGCCTTCAGATGACCATACCTCTGGCTGACAGCTTGATTATAGCCTCATGAGAGACCTGAGCTAGAACCACCCAGCTAAGCTGCTACCAGATTTCTGACCCTTAAAACTCTTAGATAATACGTGTTTATTGTTTTATGATCCCATTGGGGACATCAAAAAATGTTCTGAAAAAAAAGTACTTTGAATCACTTTCTAAAGCTGGACCAAAGTCACATCATTGGGAGCAGTCTGTTCTGCAGATGGGTGCCCAAGCAAAATCCCAAAAAGTGACTGTCCAAGGGAAAACCATCAAATAGCTGTTTCTGAAATAGGAGAGACGACCAAGTTCCAGTGACTCCTTGGACATGGATGCAGTCCTGTGTCCTATCAGCTGGAGGTAATTTGAGGGGAGCCAACAAGAACCCCTTTGTAAAAATCTCTCTCTGGCTGACCTGAAATTCCACTGCTATAGTGATTTTTGGGGGGGTGGGGGGAGGTTTGAGGACATCTAACTGGAAAATGATTACCTTGAGGAAAGTAATGCTAATAACAGAGTTTGGTGGGAAATGGCATCCAAGGGGAGCCATGATGGAGCTATGGCGGATTCAAGCAGCACAGATTAAGAATCAAAAATTAAAATGCACAGACTGACATTGGGGTAGACTATTTGAAATAGGAGAATACCAAGAAATTTTAAAAAACAAGAATTTTATTCTTGTCTTCATTTTAAAATAAAAAAAAAAACCCAACATCTTTCAGTGCTTTCTAATTTACAAAGCAATAACCTTTCATAAGATAAAGGGTAGCCCCATCTCACAGCTTCTTTGGGACATCAAGTCTTGGGTGATGGTCCCCTGAGACACAGGGGAGCCAGATGACCTTGGAAGGGAGTCAGCAACTAGAAAGTCCAATCTACGGCCTGGGAGGTTCTGCTTAATGCCTTGCTTCTGATTCTGGCATGTGCCAGGTTCCTATTTCCTAACCTATGATGCCAAAGAGTATCAAACTTGCTGCTTTGTAATATCCTGAACCAGTCCTTGCAATACCTATTTATTGCCCAGGGGAAGAGGACCTAGTAGCTTGTCATGAAGGACCTGGCCATATCTTGGGACCACTTTAAGACAACCATCATACAAACCACCAAGCAAACCTTTGGTCAACATTTAAAATAAGGAAATTCTGGTTGCAGAGTTTTCTAAGGGCTTCATCCTGGAAAGGTTTGATGTCGTAAAATCACACATCGGGCCTGTTGAGTCATTTTACTTGCCTACTAAGTATAATTTGCTTGAATAGTAAGGAGCTCACACAGCCTTTCTCCTGATATGCCCAATCATCCATTCTAAAGTAATGGGTCTCTTACTCACCTGTTGTTACCTCCATGCTCAAAATGTTGCTAACTTGGTCAGTGTTGTTCCCTTGAATTGGAAAGGTGAGGCTGCTCAAGTAAGCTCTGACAGGCTCCAGAAAGGATGCATTTTCAAAACTGATCTCAATATCAACAGTGTACTCTTCAGCTGCAGGGCTCCTTGTGGCAACTGAAAAGAAAGCATTCGAAGGCTGTGAGAACTTGTCATGGAAGATGGAGAGAGATCACGAAGGATATTTCAGCAGTTAAAGGTAACGATAGGTACATGTGGATGCTGGGCACATCAGCCCTTAAGAATTTTTNCCAAGAAATTTTAAAAAACAAGAATTTTATTCTTGTCTTCATTTTAAAATAAAAAAAAAAAACCCAAATCTTTCAGTGCTTTCTAATTTACAAAGCAATAACCTTTCATAAGACAAGGGGTAGCCCCATCTCACAGCTTCTATGGGACATCAAGTCTTGGGTGATGGTCCCCTGAGACACAGGGGAGCCAGCATGACCTTGGAAGGGAGTCAGCAACTAGAAAGTCCAATCTACGGCCTGGGAGGTTCTGCTTAATGCCTTGCTTCTGATTCTGGCATGTACCAGGTTCCTATCTCCTAACCTATGATGCCAAAGAGTATCAAACTTGCTGCTTTGTAATATCCTGAACCAGTCCTTGCAATACCTATTTATTGCCCAGGGGAAGAGGACCTAGTAGCTTGTCATGAAGGACCTGGCCATATCTTGGGACCACTTTAAGACAACCATCATACAAACCACCAAGCAAACCTTTGGTCAACATTTAAAATAAGGAAATTCTGGTTGCAGAGTTTACTAAGGGTTTCATCCTGGAAAGGTTTGATGTCATAAAATCACACATTGGGCCTGTTGAGTCATTTCACTTGCCTACTAAGTATAATTTGCTTGAATAGTAAGGAGCTCACACAGCCTTTCTCCTGATATGCCCAATCGTCCATTCTAAAGTAATGGGTCTCTTACTCACCTGTTGTTACCTCCATGCTCAAAATGTTGCTAACTTGGTCAGTGTTGTTTCCTTGAATTGGAAAGCTGAGGCTGCTCAAGTAAGCTCTGACAGGCTCCAGAAAGGATGCATTTTCAAAACTGATCTC